TATATAATATATATGTGTAAATTATCAGCTAGCTGCTGATTAGGAAAAATTTCACACGGAACACAAAACATGGCTCAGCGAATGCAACTGAACTTTGTCTTTGGGCAGATGGTAAACGCGCCTGCCGAGCGATTCTACTGAATCAGCACCTGGCTATATGCATATATGCGTGTGTGTGTGTATGTGTGGAAAGTTTTGCGAAATTGATTTATATTAGGCAGAGCAACGGATATTATGTGTACTTTTGACAGTGCGGCAGCAGCAGGTCATTAAATCGTTATTAGCTGACAATCGGGTCTGGGAAAATTGATAAGCGAACGGCGGCAGGCGCCGACTGCAGAGGCTCCGTTGCTCATTTGCTGCGTCCCATTTGCTGGTTGACATATGACAGATTGATAAACAAAGTAATAACAATAATATTATTGTTATTCCAGCGTGTTGTGGGTGGGAGTTGCTGTTGATTTTTACAGCACACACGCACACGCACACACACACACTCACACGCACACGCACACACACACTTATCTGTTATGAATGTTTAAATTTAATATAATTCAAAAATAAACCCCATCTCGAGCGATTGTGAGTGGGCAAGTCTGCAAAGACTGACATGATTTTTAATTGCGATTAAAGCGACGCATTATGTGTCTTATCAATGAGCCAAGAGTCAAGCAATATATACGTATATGTATATACATATATATATATTAATGGGATTATAAAGCTACAGCCGAACGCCTGAGCAGTCGCAGGGCAGCGCTTGAAAATGTGAAATCGTGAATTAAATACCGCTAGCAGCTGCTATTAACTTAGTCGAATGCTGTTTTACCAATAAAACCAAACAAAACGACACCATTTTAATTCAATAGAAAATTCCGTTAAAAAAATACCCCACTTTATCTGTGATTATTCTATGCAAACGTACAAAGTTCCAAAGTAACAAATATATACATACTTATATTAATATACATAACATATGCATTTATAATATAGCAATTAAATTTCAATAAATATATTTTTAAAATCAACTAATCAGTGCGAGCTAAGGTGAGTTTTCGCAATATACATGTCGACACGCGACTTGCTGCGTTTTAGTGATATTGGAAATATTTTCGGGTCCACATGTCGTATGATTGATGGCGAATGCTTCAAAATTCATTGTAAAAGGCTTTCCAAACACAAATATGTATATGAAAATCGTGCAAATTCGTAATGACTTCATTTTATTCGACATTCAAATCACGTAATAAACGCACATTTGCTTGAGTTGTCACACACACACACGCACACGCGCGCACTAATTGCCTGTATGTGGGTGAAACATAAATCAAAGCTCAAAAGTTTTTGTGCCCCGGATTAACTACTTAGTAAATGCATGTGACTTGCGTGTGTGTGTATGCGTGTGCGTGTGCGTGTGTGTGTTTTGAACTGTGTGCCGTGCGTTTCTAATTAGTGCGGCATATCCGCAGGCCCTGCAGCCCATTGTCAGTGGCATCAACAGGTGGGCGCACGTCACGCCCAAACGCCCAGAGAACTTTAAGCAGAACTAAGTGTTTTAATTGATGTTTGTATTGCCATACCACTCTCTCAAGCTCTCCCTCTCGCTCTCTTTCTCTCTCTTTTGTAGTTAATATGAAATCCACAATTTCACTGCTGGTTGTCATCTGCACCGTCGTTCTGGCCGCCCAACAGAGCCAGGCTAAAAGTGAGTATTGTCTTTTGTGTTATTTATTTATTTATTCCTTCAAAATATTGGCCAAGGTATGCGTAGATTGCTCTCACACAAGCCACTTTAGCTCCTCTTATGGCAATACGCATTGAACAACAAACCTATAAATGCCCGTCAGGCGGAAGTCCTTAAAGACACACACACACTTATACACACACTCATACACACCTGTCCCCACAGATTATGGCTGGCAGCTGCAATTGTTACAGTTTGACTTTAACGGAAAACAAACAGAAGCTTCTCCGTCTGCGCATCGTTGACATCGTCGGCGTTGCCATTGATATTGCTCCTTTGTGGCTTTGTTTATGCAGCTGCCGCCTCATCAAATTGTGGACGATTGGACAGGTGGGTAAGGGTGTGCCATAGGAACGGCTACAGCTAGTAGTAGTGCAATTGCCACTTGCACCTGCAACATTCTCTGCGCTCTACTTCATTATGCACGCATATTTTCATAAATGAGCAACAGGGAGAGTCGATGTTTCCTATATACATGTAGGTATTTTTCTTCAATATAGATAGAAAATGTTATGAGAGGAAAATAATGACGTTGAAGAGCATAAAATATATATTTTTATATTTCTTAAAAGTTAAATGCAATAAATTTGTGTAAAATTAATTTGATATGACTCTTAATAATTTATATAATTTTGTATTCATTAATTAATTAATAAAGTGTACATTTGCTCTTAAGTAGTTCATAATATTATCACAAATTTTTTCCATACGATTTTGATATATGATCGAATTTAAATTTAAATTTATATTTAGTAAAGAAGCAATATTTAAATTTGAATTCATTTACTTAATTGTTTATTAATTAAAACAAATTTTCGTTTGCCTAAAAATGTCTCAAAGTACTTACAGAAATCAATATCAATCATGCTGAAATTTTTGATGTCATATCAAAATTTCTTTTTACATTTTATAGCCAAAAAAAAAAAAAAGCAAAGATTGATTAAATTTTTCTTACTCCAATATTCGGATAAAATCAAATTAATATTTTTAGATTTCAGCTCCACTCCAAGTCAACTTAAGCTCTTTTCCAGTAATCCTTTTGCTTACGCATATATTTTCCCATTCAAAACTTTTATATTGAAACGTCTCATAGATTAGCCAAATGACATTTAATGTGTGTTAACAATATGTTGTTAATGCTTCCCCAAGCGACAAAAAATCACAAGTATAAAGAACATTCTATTTGAGTGACTGGAACAGAGGTTCAGCTCCCATGCGAAGTCCCATGCCTGGCGCTGTGCGAGCGGAAGCTCAAAAATAGCAACGACGAGTCAACAGACGAAAAAAAACGCAGACAAACAAAAAACCCAAAAAAAATAAAATGAAATTCGAAAAAATAAAAAACACAAAATCATTGTCTCGTATAAAATATCGCATAAGGTCAAATGCTTATCAAACGTTTGTCTCTCCAGAGCATTTGGCGAGCGATTAAAGATTTCCACTCTCCTACTTATTGGGGACACACAAGAGCTCCACATGTTCGTCACAGCAGGGCACAAAGTTTGCGGCCTTCCTGCACGAGGGAATAGCCCAAACGGTTTAAACTTTGCTAGCGAGTCGCAGTTAATAACTTCTAATACCCTAAACCCATTGAAGGTGGGTACAAGAGGCTATGATGTGTTTGTGGAGAGGTTTGTGGGAATGATGAATATACTTATAAATGTATGTAGAGAGATATTCATATGAACTAAGGTGATCTAGGCATATCTATCCGTCTATCATAAAGTTCAGTCCCATAACTACAGCAGCTAAAGCTACTAAATGTCGTTTTTATACGGATAATATATAGTTTCAGTTAAGTTTAGATTTCTCATTTTATGCTCATATTAAAGTAAACAAAAAAATAAATAAATAAAAAATTTAAATTCTTGAGCTATATAGTATATAGTTAATCGCGATTTGTAAACTTTTTATCGTAAATCGTATATCGAAAATCGTAAGTCGTATATCGTATACCGTGTATAGTAAACCGTAGATAGTATACCGCATATCGTATATTTTATATCAAAGAAAAGAAACAAATATGTTTCATTAATCAATTTCCAATTGAAACATAATTCTCAATAGGGTATCTGTCAGTCGCGTAGTCTAGCATGTTTTCGTAAGCGTGCTGGAACACGCATGTTGTGCGTGGGCCTTATATCGATTACCGTTATAGCTCGAAGCATTTGCAATCTGCTGGCCAAGTAGATGGCGACTAATTCATTTTGCGATTTTACCATTTACTGATATTCTGATTTTACGATTTTGCATTTCACAGAGGGCTGTCAGGCCTATGGGCACGTCTGTTACGGCGGACATGGGAAGCGCTCCTTGAGTGCAACGGGCAATGGTGCAGCTGCCGCCAATGCCAATGCCAATGCCGYTGGCCTCGACCAAGAGTTTGTGCGTCCAAACGGTTTGCTGCCGATGCTGGCGCCAAATGAACAGCCGCCAGAAACCGAATTCGATGACTATCCATCTCGTCAAGTGCTCTATAAAATCATGAAGTCCTGGGTAAATTGAAGCTGAATAAATACGAATTCTTAGAGCAAGCCTAAATTGTTTGATTTCGTGCAGTTTAACCGTCCGCATCGACCTGTGCCTCGTCTGGGTGAGCTGGATTATCCGCTCTCGAGCTCTAGCGAAAGTTTTAACCGGGAAAGCGCGCTGAATGCGCTCAACTAAGCTAAACAACAAGTGAACCAAATTAAGCACTTTTCTGAACAACAATATCTACTACAACAACAACAAACGCTATTACCTAATGAATGTTTATTAAAATTGTTTCATCGATGTCTACACATAGCGCGATTCTCGATTCCTTGCTATTTGCATAAATTGTAAAAGTTGTATAAACAAAACAAAAAACACAAAAAAAAAATTTACTGAAGTTTTTAAGGGCTGGTAAAAATTTCAGTGTATATATTGGTAAAAAAAACACGATCAAAAGTTTTTGAATAAAATACAAGATGAATGGCTACAATAGCAGTGTTTTATTGCTTTTATCAAAAATTATTATTAACTTTATGTGTGTAACAAGCAAAAGACTATATATATATATAAAATATTTGTAGTTTGTAATTTTACTAATTATCAATTAAATACAAAATAATCGAAACAAAAATATATACGACTAAAAATACAATTTAAAAAATTCATACAACTTATCACAAGAGCTTTTATTGTATATATGTTTACAAATACATGGTTATTTAATAAAATCAAATTTAAAATTAATACAATAAAAAGCTTTTAATTTTCTAAGCACTAGACGATTAACACTAACGGAAACTTCGATAACTCAATATTTTCTCGGCCACCATTTGTTATCGATAACCTGAACAGCTGTTTAATATTTACAATTGAGCATATAATAGTGCCAATTGAGTAAATAAAAGTGAATATTTCGGATACTCAAACATATTTAACATAATATTTATTAATTATAAAGAACATAATTGATTTATTTCAAATTGTTAATTATACCGAGTCACACAGTTTTGGCTGCTGTCGGTCTCAGTTTTTAAATAAACAGCATTACAGTTTGAGTGCAATGCTCTGTTATTATAACATCGACTCACAGTTTGAATTGCATTGTTTTCAGGTTTGGAAACATTGAAAGTAACACACGTGCTCAGTCGTTGCGGGTAAACATGAAAATCGCTGAAGCATAATTAAAATATAAAAGAACGCAAATTGGGAACCAATAAAATGACGCATTTGGGTGAAGAGGACAGCCCGGTCGAGGAGAAGAAAAAACCACGCGGAATTGTTAGGGAGAGCAGCCAGATATTCCGCCGGAATCGAGCGCTTGGCTATGTCAGCAACCAGGTGCCGGCAGTGACGCGCTATGTGCAACGTCGTCGGGACACGCTGCTGATCACCTGCATTGGCCGCTCCTTTCAGGTGTACACGGCCAGCCACATGCGCCTCCTGCATGTCAGCGGCCTGCATCCAGACGAGATTACGGCGCTGGCTACGGACAGGCTACACACGTATGCGGCGAGCAACAAGTGCATCTACGCCTGGCGAGCGGGCAAGCACATACGGCATGTGTACCGGGGCCATGAAGGTAATGTGCATCTGCTGCTACCCTTTGGCCGAAACCTAATTGCTGTGGATCGCAAAAATGTGCTCAAGGTGTGGAACATACCCACCGATGACGTCTATTTGAATGTGCCCTTCGACGAGGAGGAGTTCTCTATCACAGCTCTGGCCCATCCGCCCACATATGTGAATAAAATTGTTCTCGGCTCGCGGCAGGGTCAACTGAAGATCCTGAACATTAAGAAGAACACCATACTGTGCACCCTGAGCCACCATTTACAGCGCATCACTTGCCTTGAGCCGGCGCCTGCATTGGATGTTATGGGCGTTGGCCATAGCGATGGCACCATAATTGTCTTGAATCTGAAATTTGATACGGTGCTGATCACCTTCAAGCAGGAGTGGGGCACGGTCAGTCAGTTGTCCTTCCGCACAGATGGTCCACCCATTTTGGTCTCCGCCAGCGGCATTGGGCACTTGGTCTTCTGGAACTTGGAGGAGCGCAAATTGGCTGGTCAATTGCAGGCGCACGAGAGGAAGGTGACGACGGCAATCTGCCTGCCCAGCGAGCCGGTGGTCTTCACCACATCCCCGGACAATTCAATGAAAATCTTCGTGTTCGATATGTCCGACGGCGGCGCCAGACTGCTGCGCATGCGCGAAGGTCACACGAAGCCTCCATTATTCATACGCTATCATGGCGCCAGCGGCGTCTCCATTCTGTCCGCCGGGGACGACAGCACGCTGCGCGTCTTCTCCACCATATCGGAGTCGCTGAACAAGAGCATGGGTCGAGCCACCTACAATCCCAAGGCGACCAAGAAGAAGAGTATGTTAGGACGCAATTAAAGCATCAAACCAAAGCTCAATCCCAATTTCTTTTTGTATTCCATAGATCACTTTGTGTATGACAAGAACAGCATGCCGCCAATTCTGGAGTTCACTGCGGATGCGACACGCGAAAAGGAATGGGACAACATCGCTGCAATGCACGCGGGCATCATACAGACCACCACCTGGTCGTTCCACAAGAGCCGCTTGGGCGACCATCGTTTGGTGCCACAGCAGTTTTACAATAGGAACCGCGACGATTTCCAAGCGGAAACCACATCTATCGTTGCTTCGCATTGCGGCAACTATGTTATTATTGGCTACAGCACCGGCGACGTGGAGCGCTTTAATATGCAGTCGGGCCTCCATCGCCTGAGCTACGGTGGCTTCCGCTCAGCCCACGAGGCAGCTGTGCGTGGCCTGGCGTGTGACAATTTGAATCAGTATCTGGTCTCGGGCTGCTCACAAGGCCTGGTTAAGTTCTGGCCATTCAAGGCTAATGGTGAGTGTTTGCCTAGTAAATCATTGTTCCGCCTCAAGCTCATCATCCTCACCCACTCACTTCACAGCTATGAAGCCAGTTGCCGTGCTGCGACTAGCTGATGGCGTTGCTCAAATGCGGCATCATCGCGAGAGCTCCTTGGTTGCCATTGGTCTGGATTCGTTCAAGATCTACGTGGTGGACATGGATACGCGTGTGGTGATCCGTAAGTTTGTCGGGCACACGGCAAAACTGAACGATATGGCCTTTAGTCCGGACAGCCGTTGGCTCATCACAGCCTCCATGGACTCGACCATCAAGGTGTGGGACATACCCTCATCCTATATGATCGATCACTTCAAGGTGCAGCAGCCCTGCGTCTCGCTAAGCATGTCACCCACTGGTGACTTCCTGGCCACCGCCCACATCGGCTTGTTGGGCATTTACCTGTGGGCCAACAAGACGCTGTTCAACCAGATCTCGTTGCGTTCCATAGATCCGAATGAGCCGGCGCCGTATGTGGGCCTGCCCGCTAGCATTTGCAATGCCATGGATCTTGATGATGCCATGCAGGAGCTGGGCATTGATGACGCTAACGATAATGTGGAACTGGGCGAGCAGATTGATGCCCAGTACGAAACGCCTAAGCAGCTGACGCCCGAGTTAATCACACTCTCCGGTCTGGCGGCATCGCGCTGGCAGAATCTGCTCGACCTGGAGCTGATCAAGCAGCGCAACAAGCCGAAGGCACCGCCTAAAACACCCAAACAGGCGCCCTTCTTCCTGCCGACGGTTGCAGGCCTAGATCTGCGCTTCGATGTATCCAATGGGCAAACGGACAACCCTGAGCAATCCCGTGTGCTCGAGGTCTCCTCGTTCAACAATCTGACCGCCTTTGGCAAGCAACTGGAGGCGACGGCCACAAGCAAAGACTTCGACTCCGTGGTGCAGCACATTACCCAGCTGGGTCCGTCAATGGTGGACTTCGAGATCAAATCACTGCATCCCGATGCCGGCGGCACCAGGCTCGCCATGCTGCAGTTCCTCAGCCTCATCGAGCACATGTTTGGCACGAACCAAAACTTCGAATTGGCCCAATCATATCTAAGCGTTTATCTGCGCTCCCACGGCTTGAGCTTAAGCGAATCCCCAGAGCTTGTCAGGTCGCTGCGCAGCGTTGCGCAAACCCAACAGGCGGCCTGGGAGCGCATCGAGAGCAAGTTGATCTACGGCACTGGCGTCGTCGCGGCACTGCGCAACTTTGCTCGCTAACTTGGTCTATAGCCTTAAGTCTCTTAAATTACGTTTTACCAGGTGTTTGTAAATAAATTGGTAAAGTTTTATATTACTTTGGAAGCATTTTCAAATGTCAAATTCGTATGTGATCCCAATTTTTAATTTGGCCAAAGAATAGATATACCTATCTGAAAGTGAGCTCCGTCAGTCTTGAAATCGATAGATATTGGGATTAGGAATTTCTATTGCAGTTGATTTTATAGACCATCCTAAGTTGATCGATGATGAAAAATTTGCTAATCATGCAATATTGATGATATGGAATTTTTTAAATTTAGAATTCAGCATTGGAAAAACTCAATCGAAATTCGATTTAGACATACTTATCTGATATTATATACATCATTCCCTATGTCGAATAGAGTGAAAACCTAAGAATTTGTAAGGTCTAAATGAAAGTTTAAATTCACTTTCTTTAGTAAGCTAATGTCTAAAAATTAGTCAGACCTATGAATCATATGAATCACGCCAGACTGATAACCGGCTTAGTTAATATGCAGTATCGTAACTTATCATGCGCTACCATTCAAAGAAAAGCGAACGCATAAACATATATTTTTAAAGTTGAAATTGTGTATTATTTTATTTATTATATCCGTTTAATCTAACGCTTTATTATTTAGGCTGGAATTAAATAACTTAAATTTGTTCCTAGACGCGTTGGATCGCGGTCTGTAAATATGCGGTTCTAGTGGCGAATTGATTCAAATTTTGTTTCATTTATATTTTCGTATTTCATGGGGGTGGCATCTCCTATTGTCAACTCATATATATCATATATATCCAACTCAACATAAACGGAATAAAACAATGTTTATATATAGTTTTTCGAACCACGCGTTAAAAATGTAGTGCATAATATTTTTGATAAGTATTTTCTTTTGTTTTGTTTTGTTTTTATACCTAAATATCGTAATTAGCATATCTCGTAGTCTGAAGAGCGTCTCCCGATCCTAAGCCATATATATAACTTGAAATTTTTGTTTCTTCAATTTGGATACATTTTAGTGTATATATGGGTGTGTGTGTGTGTGTGTGTAAATTTCAGTTAATTATTTGCGAGTGTTTCTTTTTTTCTTTTAGTTTTAGTTTGGGATATTACAATGAATGCAGCAAATGCCAGTCGATGCGGATGGAGTGCCAGGTGTTGGGAATATATACGCGCTAAGTGCCAAGTGGGGGGCAGTAGCTAGTTCAGACGATGTTAGTGACGGACTTGCATTGGGTTGACAATTGGAACGCGCAGAGGGGGGTTGGCGAGTGGATATTCATTCTCCAGATACACCTTGGGCGCAGACACTTGATTTACTTCTTGGATTTCGTTTTTATGGGTGTTGTTTACTTTTGTTGTGTGCTAGTTAATTTGCTTTAAGTGTAAGCCGTTTAACTGGATGTGCACTGTTGAACGCGTGGTCCGTACTGGTAGCCACCCTCGTCCTCATCATAGGCCATGCGCTGGTGTTCCTGGCGACGTTGCTTGGGATCAAAGTCCTCCTGCAAAACGAAACAATAAATAGTTAGCGATTTACTTTTTCTTAAAAGACCTCTCTCTCTCTCTTCCTCTCCTTAGACTTACCAAAACTGCATGCTCTGCATCAACTGGAATGTCAATATCTGGCGCCGGTGGCAAGCATTGCTTGAGCGTCGGGATAACTGATGGATTGAGCATGTCGGGGAATATAACTTCGAATTGAATGATGAGTGTGCCCTTCTCCAAGGGGTTCTTGAATATGGGCATACCCTCTTCAGCAATGCATTTGGTCATTTCGTGTCGGATAACTTCACCGGGTTGTGTGGAAATCAGCAGATCGCGATCATCGAGAGTCTTGATTACCCGCTGGAAGCCGCACAAAGCCTCGACCAGCTGCAGCGGCATTTTCATCATCAGATCCGTATTCGCATGCACAAATGTTGAGTGCTCTTTTTCGTCCAACAATATTATGATATCACCCGGCTGAGATTCGGGCTCGTGATCGCCCTCGCCTGCGAATACTATCTTCTGGCCATCCCGCATGCCCTTCTCGATGTGCACCTCCAGCACCTTGCGCTCTCGCACCGTTTTGCGTCCGTTGCAGTTCTTGCAGCGATCCTTCTCCTGTATGGTTTCACCGCTGCCGGAACACTTTCGGCACACCTGCTCATTGTGTTGCACGATGCCGGGCGCAATCTGTTGCACACGGACCTCGACACCATTGCCGCGACACTGCACACACTTCTCGATGCTGCCCTTCTTGCCACCGCGTCCCTCGCACTTGTCACAAATCACATTCTTTTGCAGCTGCAGCTTGCGCGTTGCTCCATTATACAGCTCCTCCAATTGAACGGACATCTGGTGGACGACATCTTTGCCGCGTCGCTCACGACGGCGACCGCCGCCGCCACTACTGAAACCGGTACCAAAGAATTTCTCAAAGAAGTCCATTGGATTACGGAAATCGCCAGAATCGGCGCCGCCCTTCTTGATGGCCGCCTCACCACCCTCGTCGTATATCTGACGCTTGTCCGCATCGGAGAGCACCTCGTACGCCTGCGAGATGGCTTTAAATTTCTCGCCCTCATTGGGATTCTTGTCTGGATGGTATTTGAGCGCCAATTTTCTGTAGGCCTTCTTCAGCTCATCAGGGGTCGCATTGGGCTTCACTCCCAGCAGATCGTAATAGCCCGTTTCCTTAACCATATTTTTTCTTGTTAGCTGATTCTTTTGCACTTTAACTGCAAGCAGAGACGAAATTACATTGCAATTACTCGGGTTGCCAGATATTTATAAACTGGTCGCTTTTTGTTCGTATAAATGGTAATTTCCGGCATGCGAAAATTCAAAAGAAAAAAAAAACGCAATATCAAGGTCGGCACACGGCGGTATCGAAGACAACAGGGCCCCACGTTTTCTAGAAATTTTCTATTTCAATATGCTTTTTTGTTCAGTTTTGGATACCACATTCGACGCCTCACAGCTGACTCTGCCCTGCTCTTTGCATTTCGTTGTCTCTCTCTCTCTCTCCCACTCTGACGTAGATACATATACACACACTCATCCATACATACATATTTATATACAAATGTACATAAACTTCTAGAAAATTTCGTCAGCAGTGCGCAGCCCTGGTTGCCGTAACCGTTGCCCCTGTGCGAACATCGGCACAAAGCGAACGGCATGATAATGTGAAAAAAAGCACACCAACACAATGACTAGGTGTAAAGCAACGTGCAAAAAACGAGACGAAGCGAAAAAATTAGAAAACGCTGTACAATTTTCTATTGATTTGTGTGCGATTTTCGTAATGTCAATTGTGCATGCTGCAATTCCCAGACAGGCGCACACATACACACATAAATATGATTATGGGCGCACACGCTAAAACATGTGCCGCGCAGGACGCTGCGTCAGAGGAATATTAATTGGGGTAGAGACAAAGAAAATTCAGCTTTCGTTGCCGACTTGAATCGATTTTGCAAAATAGTGAATCAGGCGTAACATAGTGCAATTACTAACTACGACGCAAATATAAAAATTATATATTCCCTATGATTACTTAACAAAGACTGGGCAAAAACTAATCATCAAATACACACTCACATAATGCCTGCGGGAATAATTAGACCATTTCTTAGTAGTTCTCACCTTTTTATTACAGGATTTCACGAGTATTCGAATATTTTTTCTAATAGTTATATATTTATATATATGTATACCGTTTTTACAGTACGCTTTAAGAGTTACACTTTTACTATAATTTTAAATCTATTTCGAATACTTTTTCAGCAGCCTGCTATCGCTGTACGAATGCGCCACGCTTGTTGTATGAAAGATCGAGAATATATTAGGGGTGATACATGTTACACTACTTTTATTATAATAATACTGCCATAGCAACGAGTCGCTCGTTGAGAAAATGCAACTCTGTCCCAAATGCGCCGTCTGGCAAGCCTACGACAGATACAAGCAATACGGTCACACTTCACAAAACAGCTGTCTACGGCGGCCTGGTTATTTAACTCGAGTGGAATAGACAGAGATTTAATAAAATAAATTCTGAATTTGAATTAGAAATGAGACACGCTCAATTCATAGCACGCACTGTGTTTGTGCACAACAACAACGTGGAGGAGGCATGCCGTCTTCTTAACCGGATACTCGGCAAGGAAGAAATCTTCGATCAGTTCCGCCGCACGCGCTTCTATGAGAAGCCTTACCAGGTGCGAATACAAACAATATAAACATGTTCTTAAATGTAGCTAATGACTGTTATTTTTACAGGTGCGTCGTCGTGTTAATTTTGAGAAGTGCAAAGCCATCTACAATGAGGACATGAATCGTAAAATTCAATTTGTGCTACGAAAGAACCGAGTGGATCCGTTTCCAGGCTGCAATTAAATTTACATGATTTAATGTTGTGGCGTTGTTTTTTAAATAAATCTAAAACATAGTTAAGAAACAAAAACGAAGAAACGCATAAATGAATGCTTAAGCTTTTCATGGAGCTTTTATCCTTGCAGCGGGCACACAAATGCCCCTTTGGCCTCATAGTGTTAAAGCGCTTTAGCGGCAACAGTGAGCTTTCAATTTCTATTGCTGCCAAACAATTCGCAATTCGTTGCTCGGCTCAGAGTCTTCTCTGTGTTCGTGCAGTTAGGACGAATTTTTAAGTTGATACGTTACAAGAGGTAAAAGTGAACATTTTTGGTTGTTCCATTTGTGCCAATTACAATAATAATAATATCTGTTGTTATTTGCGAAGTGTGTATTGCGTTGTTAAACATTTTTATAGCACACTTTTGAGCGTTGCCATATTTGTTATTTGTGCAAAATTCATGAGCATGTATTACTAGCGTATTTTAGTGGGTGTAGTGTGTATATGCCAGTGTGTGTGAGTGTGATTTGCGCTGCATTTGCAGCATAATTTCGGCTGTGGTTTTAACTGCTGCTACTGCAGTTTGTGCTGCATCCCCACTCAACAAAGCAATCTACAACAGCAAGTGGCTTGCAATGCGCAAAACGTGCCTAAGTGCTCCCAAATGCATCGATAATTCGCTTTTGTGGCCAATCTATTACAATCGTGTGCGTGTGTATGTGTATATGTGTGTGTAAGTGAATGTGCTTCTTCTTTTGTTTGTGTGCATGTGTGTGTGTGCCTGTGTAGCTGCCGATGGTTGGGTGGCTTAGTTAGGGACCACAGCATAAAATTCGCTTAACATCAAAGTTGGCGTGTTCCATTCTGCTCTCCCATTGACAAGCCCCACGCTTGTTGTTGCCGTTGTTGTGGCACCTTGTTCGAATACCCTTGCAATGGGTATGCTGCCTATGTTGGCAAATGTATGATTCGATGCGAGATTGTATATAGTATCGATTGTGTGTAGCATATAATTGCTAGATATATTTTATTCTTTTACTTTATTTCATTCCTGTGTTAAATTTTACTGTTATACTACATTTTGTTATCATCCTTTATTTATTATTTATTATATTAAGAGTATGTATATAAAATATTACATTTTATTTGTGAATGATATTTTATTCTTATATTGTAAATATTTAAGTCTTGAGTCAAATATCAAATGGATTAATTTTTACTGCTATGAAGTCTGAGCTTTTTGAAACAACATAATATAATTCATAATTATCTGCATTTAATGAAATTTAATTTAATTTTATCATGAATCGCTAATTTTTTTTTTTTTTTTTTTTAAATATACATATACATTTATATATAATTGCGATTTTAAATACAATGTTTACTTTTAACTATTTTAACAGTATCGAAATTTAAATTACGGATTTACAAATTTACTGTTTTTCGTATATGTAATATATTTATTTAGCAAGTGTATTTAGTTGTCGTACTTCAGAATGGAACTTACTTTTACTTTTTGTTTATGTTTCGCTGAGCGTTGCTTGCATTGCTTTTACTACCTGTAAGGGCATTTAATGTTCCCCATTACCAAATTAAACTTTTCATTTTTGTTTTGTTGTTGTTTTTTGTTTTTGGTGTTTCCGTTGTGCTGTGCTGTGCTTTGCTTTGGACGCTTTTACTGCCGCTGTTTTATCGATTTCTTGTGTTATTTTTAGCAATATTTATTTGCATTGATGTGCGTGTGTTTCTGTTTCACTCTCTTGACACTAACACTTACACACTCGAACACACTTAAACTTGCATTTGTATGCATAATCAAATTTTGTTGGCAGCTAATCAAATTGATTACGTCTAATGTCCTTTACAGCTCGAAATATTACGCTATGTTTGGCAATCGATTCGTGGCTGTTGTCCTGGTTGCCAGCTGCAGCCTGGCTCATGCCTATCCGGCGCTCTTACCATATCTCTACTGTAAGTAGGGCTCACGATATATACTATATGTATAGATATATGTACATGTATTCATGTTCGTGCAGCCCCTTTGAAGCGCAGCGCTGATACTTTTCCGCAAATCGAGGACGATGTCGTGGAGCTGGATCAGCTGAGGCAGGAGCAGCCCGCGGTGGGCAAACGACAGCACGATGGCAGCACCGCACGGACCACCACAACCACCACCAAGGAGAGCATCGAGAAAGTAATTGCCCCACCAGAGGCGGGTAGCAAGGAGCAGCCTCTGATGCCTGACCTGGAGCGTCAACTGGAGGTGGCCACGCCCCTAATGTCGATGTCCACCACAACCACCACCAGCACATCGGCAACGACGACAACGGCAGCGTTTAAGGACGATGGCGAACGCTCACAGCTAGAGGAGCCAAAGACGGCGGCCAAGCCGGCCAACGAGCCTGGCGCCCATGCTAAGGTAAAGAGCTATTGCCCTGCCCAGAACCCGTCCCATAGCTGTATTTGTATGTGTATATGTATGTATGTATGCCCCTTGTAAACCAAGCCAATATGTGTCTTTTGAAAATCCAAGTGTATATCCACGAAACCACCCAAAAACCAACAGGCTTTCTACGGTGCAGCGCGTCTAGCATTTGGCCAAAATCCCGAGGTATTGCCCACATCTCCAGCAACCACAACAACAACTACAACAACAACAACAACAATGCCCACGACTACAACAACAACATCAACAACAACTGCAGCGCCAACAGTGGCCACAGAAGACGCAGCAGCGCCAGCTGGCGAGGATGTGGCGGGTGAGCCCGTTGAGACTGCCGAAGAGACAATCGACGCAGTTGGCGGTACCGACGTAGACCCAATGCCGGATAAATTGCCTACGGCCCATCACAATCACGATATCAACAAGGAGACCATTGGCGACATACTGATAGACCAGTTGGAGACGGTGGCCAAGACCACAGAGCGACGCTCCAGCATGCCACATATGACGGCCAAGGTTCTTATGACAACTCAAAAACCATTTTACTGATCGGCAACGAATTGGCTAACCCAACCTAAATTGATCTATTCTCAACATTCGCCCACTCTTGCTTGCACTTTGACCCCACGCACATCTCTGCTGATCTGCCCTGATTCACATACTCTCTTTAATCTCTCTTTTGTAGACGGCTCAGAGCTTGCTGCGCAATGCGAATGGCCAATACTCTTCCTTTGATATGGCCCAGTATGTGTTCTGGACTGGCGACGAGACAGGCGTAGCTAGAGCTGTTGAGGAACTGATCGATGAGAATTTGGTGGGTTTATCTAACTATCTAATATTCTAGGTCGACATCCTGACATCTATATAAATATATATCCATATATTTAGAAATGATCTATAAATCGTGAGTCATGCACCCTGAGGTGAATGCCCAAACTAGGATTTGTTGTAGGAATATTCCTCCTAGCCTAAGAATATATCGAATATTTGGATATACGATTCAGTTCCAACTAGAGTATAAAATCGATATACCTCAGATACCCTGTATACCTATATCCAAAAATCCAAAAATATATATTTCATTAATTCTATCTCTACACTTCTTGAATGAATCCATTTCTATATATTTATATTCCACATTTATCTTTTATCTTCGCAGATCACCCGAGAGAGTGCTCTGAAGTTCTTGCGCGATATTCGTCTGGGCATTGAGTTCTTGCAGCGCTCCTATGCAAATCGCATTTTTCCCGAGGAGTTGCGTCAGAATCACTTGAAGCGTAATACTTTGCCTAGCTCGACAACCACATCGACAACAACAACAACCACAACGAGCACCACCACTGAAAAGCCATTCATACACTTGGACAGCGATTCGGATGCAGTAAGTCCGGAAATAGGACGAGGCAAGTCCCTAGACAGCTTCACCTTCTGGAATAAGCTGAAGGCCCTAGAGAATGAGAGTCCTCAAGGTGGGTGGCAAATAAAGAAAACTATGTAAAAAGTAACTATATATTTAAACGATATGTGTATATGTTAGATCTAACGGACTATGATGAAACCATGGGTCGTGCTAAAATCGTAGAATATTTGTATAATGAGTACAGCTTGGAGGAAATACTCTACAAATTGGCCAAGGTAAGTTGAGATATAAACAGATGAAGAGAAAGAGAGAAAGAGAGAGAGAGAGAGAGAAAGAGAGAGAAAGAGAGAGAAAGAGAGAGAGAGAGAGAGAGGGAAAGAGAGAGATTGTAACATTTATCCTGCAGGTAATGTTTGCTCAGTCTTTGGCTCATGGCTCTGATGAGGCCCAGCAGGAGCTGCAGAAGCTAACCGAATTCCTGGAACACGAGGGCAATCTGGGCATTATTCCCGTTGACTTGCAGAAGAAAGTGCTAAGTGAGTGGGGATTTAATGTTATCAATAAAAACAAGTTTTCTAATTTGTTTTCGTTTTCCTTTTAGGAGTTCTGCTCACCGCACTCTCCGATACTCTAACCGAACATCCCGAGTTGCTGCCGGCTGCGCGTGTTAACTTGGCAAATCCATTTTTCAGACTTCCAATGCATACCACAAGTCAATAGAGCATTGAGGGCAGCTCTTAAATGTTATCAAAAGTATATATATAAATATCTATATGTATACATATAATATATATGAATGAAATATTAACTAAGTTATATACACAACTGATCATATATACATACATATATAATTATTCTGTTTCACAAGTTGTTTAACATAGACAGAAATGCGCTCTCTCGGAATTGGTTCAACATTTTTTCCTTCTATACTAAAGACAACAAAAAAGAAAACAAAATGGCAAATATCGAAAGGCTTATAATTTAGTTCTTATCATAGCAAAAAAAAAAAAAACTCTCGTGATATTTTTGGCAGGCTAGAAAGTGCGAGATAAAGAAACGTTTTTATATTCATCATATATACTACATATATGACAAATTTTAGAAAAGTGGTAAAAGGAACCCTAAAAAAAAATAAAGAAAATGAAGAAGACAAAAGAGAGACTTGCGCTTTTGAAAAATAGTTAAAAAAAATCTGTATTGTATGCTTGCTTATATTTGATATGAGTTAGTTAAAAAAAAAAACAAAAAAAAAGTAGATGAAGATGAAGAAAACTTAAGAGGTTGAAGTTGATGATATCTATGTAAATGTCCTTTGTTATTTGAGGCTCTTCATATGGCATCGTTTGTTCGCTTCCCCTCAAACACTTAAAAAAAAAGCAGGAAAGGGCTTAAAGTCCGCATATATCAGTAGCAAATAGAACTGCTTTTAAAAAAACATACATATATATATGGTTATATATATTTTTTTTGTTCTTATTATAAGTACCCAAAAAAAAATACATATACATATGTTACATGCATACATATACCCTACTAAATAAATACATAACAAAAAAATTGCTGATTGATTGATTATACGTTTATGTTTTGCCAATTTAGTTGATTGCTCAGAAAAAAAATATATAAATATTATATATGATGTGTAAATCGCTGTAATACCAATTATTGTTTGAAAACATACTTGATATACTAAACAAAATATATATGCTATATATTGTTTAAAAAAAAAATACAAAAAAAGTACTTGATAGCTAGTGTCTACTATTGCCAGCTGGACTCATCGCTTACTGAATTAAAAAAATTCAGAAATATAAAAAATAAATATTTATTCAGGAGAAATCTTGTCGGTTCTTTAAAAAAAATATCTACTGTTGATTTAGGGGATCTTTGCTATCTATTTAGCAAAGATCCCCTAAAAAAAAAGTTATTTTGAACTGCTCTTCTTTTCCAGATATGTATTTATTCATTTAAAATTCTTATGTGTACTTCATACTTAGTGTCTACTGTTCTTTTTTGGGCTCTTCGATCTCCGATTTGGAACCATCCAGCAACTTATTAATTTGCGCCTCTGTTAGGGGTTCCTTGCTGTTGAAAATCTTTTCGATTTCAGCGCGTTCCTCCGGATCCATTTGTTCGCTATATTGCTTGGCCAAGGCTTCCAATCGTTCCTGGTTCTGATTGAAACGTTTGGGCAACCAAAAGATCGTTTGCACCATTCTACGACGAATACAAAGGAATTCAAGATAAAGTCTTTGAGATATAATTTTCATGTATACCTGAGAAATATAAAACCCGTTACAGCCAATATCAGACACAATGCCGATGTCTTCAGCATGGTCCAGTAGTCAACAACAACTTGCTGATGCTTCATTTTGGTAATTGGTAACAGGTAGCAGCTCCGATAAGCAAAATGGGGCAACTAGTATATCCTTCCGCGACAACGCAACAGTATCTAATAAAGTGTCATAAGCCAGTTTATCGAATATTTCTTGTACATGCTGCTTAAGGGCGCAATTATCGGATTGTTGTGGTCGTGGCCGGTCGTCATGACTAACCTACATATTTGATGCATATGTGTATCTCCCACAAATCAATAATTCTGATTGCATACGTGTCTCGACTATGTGTATTCGGAGTGCTGACCTAGACCCACGTCGAATGACCTGTAGGCATAGGAAATCAAAGGAAATTCTTTTACTTTTCGAACTAGTCCTTTTTAATTATGTGCTTTAATAGTAAAGTGGGCGTGTTCTACATGGGAGACGCTCAAGCTACTTAAGGTTGTCTGTATATTTACATATATAAGAAAATAGATGCAGCCAAGCACATGTCAAAGTAGTTAAGACCTCCACTGAACTAGTTTAATAAATTGTAGGAGCTGCAGATATGATCTAAGATTTATTTTAGAGAATAACAATGATATTGCCATGAGTATGTAAAAGAATATAAACAATATTTGCAAAACCACAAAAATAAAAAATTTTAATACCTCTTATCTGTACAAAATTGAATCAGAGTCTAGATAGCAACCTGACCACCTGATATACATAACTCTATCATTGTATTTATGTATCTATCTGTATCTAATCTATATTGATAAATGTAGCTGCTATGCAACCATCATAGGCATCTATTAGGTAAATCCCTAATATCTACCAGTTATACTCTCAAATCTAAGTACAACGATTGATTTTTATTGATAACTTTTAAAGGGCTTCAGTTATCAAACCCAAATATTAAGCTTATACTAGTTATGTTATAGAATAGTATTTACTTAAAGAATTAAGTCTCTAGCGTTTACAACTATGGAGATCACTGGGTTAAAACCAATGGTATAGACAACATGTATGTCTATGCTAAATTTACGATATGTATCCCGCCTGTTTTGCGTTAAAAACGTGATGCCATTTTTTGTTTTTAAAATTTTCAATTGTTTTTCAATTGCTTTTTTTTTTTTTAATTTTTTTATACGAGCAATCACGTCACGGCCTAAATAATAAATATTGTATACCAAGCATTGACCTACGCCCGTAGGTAGACCAACAGCAAAGAATTTTGTCATGCTGTCCTGATGATGCATTTTATTTTGTATATCGTTTATAGCGAACGTACGATTGGGCTTATCAAATATATTATTTATAGTACCAGTACACACGATTGTAATGGTTTTGCACAAGAAACTCAATAAATAAAACCAAAAAATATATATACGTATATACTATATTGACGATAAAGGCCGACATGTACTGAAGTAGCATGGAGGATCGTGCGAATTGTAAATTAGAGACAAAAGTGTCTCAAATCAAAAATAGAAAAAAAAAAAAAATAGATTAGACCCATGGCTCTACATAGCATTCGATTCGCTGGGGGGGTAAACAAAGTGTAAGACAACAAAAATTTTGACTCACAGACTGAATATTATCAATAGATAGTGCTGCAGGCATATCAGATCTTCTAGAGGCGATAACAGATGCCCAGCCTATATAAGGCGCTCGTATTCCCAGGCTAAGTGCAATACTGAAAGAAGGAACAAGATGAGTAGACACTTGATTTGCGCCTGCCTGCTCCTGGGCATGCTATCTCTGGCTCTGGCTGCCAAGAGACCCATCTCGGATTGCGTAAGACCCATCCACAATTAACTTGGGGCAAGTTCTAGATTTCTAGATTTCAACTGCTTTCAGGGCGAACGAATCGAGAACGATGGCTATCCCATGGAGCGCCACACCGTGGTCACCGAGGACAACTACATTCTGACCATGCATCGCATACCCTACTCCCCCAAGACAGGCGACACTGGAAAGCGACCAGTTGCGTTCCTCATGCACGGCATGCTGAGCTCCAGCTCCGATTGGGTGCTGATGGGTCCCGGCAAGGCCTTGGCCTACATCCTCTCCGATGCAGGCTACGATGTCTGGATGGGCAATGCCCGCGGCAATACGTACTCCAAGGCCCACAAATACTGGCCCACCTTCTGGCAGCTGTTCTGGAACTTCAGCTGGAACGAGATTGGCATGTACGATGTGCCCGCCATGATTGACTACGCGTTGGGTGTGACTGGCGAGAGCCAGCTGCAGTACGTAGGCCACTCCCAGGGCACCACCGTCTACCTGGTCATGATGTCCGAGCGCCCCAAATACAATGACAAGATCAAGTCGGCCCATCTGCTGGGCCCCGCCGCCTACATGGGCAACATGAAGAGTCCTTTGACACGCGCCTTCGCTCCCATTCTGGGCCAGCCCAATGCCATGGTCGAGCTCTGCGGCTCCATGGAGTTCATGCCCAGCAACAAGTTCAAGCAGGACATGGGCATTGAGATGTGCAAAGCCACCTCGCCCTACGCTGAGATGTGCGCCAATGAGATCTTCCTGATCGGCGGCTACGATTCCGAGCAATTGGACTATGTAAGTGATAGAAGAGAATAGCTAGATAACCAGATATATGACGTGCTCTATCTTGATTTCTCTGCAGGATCTGCTGGAGCACATCAAGGCTACATCGCCCGCCGGCGCTTCGGTCAATCAGAATCTGCATTTCTGCCAGGAGCACAACTCCGGCAAATTCCGCAAGTTCGATTACTCTGTGTTCCGCAATCCCTACGAGTACGGCAGCTACTATCCGCCGGAGTACAAGCTAAAGAACGCCAAGGCACCCGTCCTACTGTACTATGGTGCCAACGACTGGATGTGCGATCTGAAGGATGTGCGAAAGCTGCGCGATGAGCTGCCCAACATGGCGCTCGATTATCTGGTGCCGTTCGAGAAGTGGGCCCATCTGGACTTTATCTGGGGCACTGAGGCCAAGAAATACGTGTACGACGAAGTCGTGAAGCAAATGTCTAACTACGAATAGTTTCTTTATTCAATCAAACGATTCAAGCATTAAAGGGCATTGGTCAAGCAATCACGATTTCCATCTGGTAGCCCAATTTGATTTCGTCGTTGTTCAACAGTTGTCCATCTACTATATAGAAGCCAGTCGACAAATATTTCTCAAGTTTCGATGCATGCAGCGTGTACTCCTTAATGTAGAAATCTTGGGGAGACAATGGACAGCTCTTTGGGTCGGGTGCATTCGAATATTCCTTTATCTTCTCATATATGAAGTTCTTATATAACGATCCCATTAAATCGCAGACACCCATCACAGGATAATCCTTATGCACTTTATACTCCGATGATGGTGAATCCGCCCTAAGAATCGTAATGTTTACCTGATTTAAATTAATAAATATGTATTACTGAGATGAGATATAGGCATATGCAAAATTGATATGTATAAAATTAAATAATTACATAACAGCTAGCTGCTGTCAGTCTGCTTTGAGCAGTGAGTGTGTCATATCAGTTAGCCAACCGTCAAAGGTAATGTATGGATAGTTAGTGCTATAGCAGTTAGCAAATGTCGTCAAGCTCGATCCTTCTATTGCATAAGTATGAGAATTTGCACTTACCTATTTGTATTTTGTATAATATATTCTTATTGATATATACACATATATCTCACCTTCCAATCGTTGTCTAGGCTGGTCAACATTTTCAGCTCCCCATTGATAACAGCGCTTGTCTTTTCATCCTGGTATTTGACTCTTAAGTCAGCTCCGAACATCGTCGTGTCCTCGTGAGTCTTTGATATTTCGCCTATGGTTGAATTAAATTCGCCACCTTGCACAAGGACGCAGCTGCCGAGTAGCAGCAGTGCGAAGAGCTGCACCAAGTACACAGACATTGCAATCGGATATAAAAATTGACGAGCATCGAGCGAGGTTTATATACAGCTGCTATTGCATGCGAGCGTTGCGCATCCGCCACGTAGGCCGATCGAAATCAAAAGTGTCAACGGAAATGGCAGCATGTTTTTTAACAATCACGAATTTATGTWTTTTTTTTTTTTTTTTTTTTAATGGACTTGTAACGAGATAAACTCTGCCCAGGTTGAATATTGTTATAATTCGATCAAAGCTTACATAACATAAAATTCAATTTTGATCTAAAAGTCGCAAATTATATACATTAAAAACAAAAGCCAACAGCTGCAATTTATGCAATTAACATCATCTTAAACTAGTTGCAGGCGGGAATGTTACTGCTTCTCGTAGCCGAAATTTAATCTCAGCTGCTCTAGGAACATGAACGTCAATATCGTCTGCGGACCCAGACGCACAAATGCCGGTACGTAGCCCTTGAAGAAGCCGAGCGGCCCCAGTTTCGCTGTATGCAGCACAATGTCCCAGAGACTCTTATATTCGCCGGGCTTGGCATTCATTGAGCGCGTCTTCAGCACATCCATGGGCTGTGTTAACGTCGTGGCTATGGCGCCGGCCATGAGGGAGGCGGTGAAATGCGTGACCAGATTGTCCTGGAAATAGGGCGTGGCCAACAGCGTAGATTTGATCTGGTCGTAGAAGGCAATCTGGCCAATGGTCATGAAGACGCCACGAGCCGTCGCCGTCGAGCCGCCCGAGAATAGCTTCCTGAAGCCCTCCGTCTTGTACACCTTGACAATGCCATCCACACCAGAGCGATAGCTGTTGAGAGAGCATATATAGATTATGATTAGTTTGGGATTCAGTTTAGTTTGTTTCGTTCGTCCACTTACTTTCTACGCAGTTCGGGCGGCAGTTTAACATCGTTTTGCATGCGCACATTTATCATATCTGCGGGCGTGCCAAAGATGCCGCCAATCATGCCCGAGAGGCCGGCCAGGGCGATTTTGCCCGCAAACGTGTCCGTGTTGACGAACTCCTTGCCCACCTCGTAGGCACCGAATCGTGTCGTCGAGTATGTCATTTGGCGCAGGATCGAGGCAGATAAACCATTGTAGAAGGCCAGGACACCCTGTTCCTGCATGATTTTTGGCACCAAGCGCAGCACGGACAAATGGCCCTGTTGCGTCTGCAGCGTCACCTTGAGCAGGTCCAGAGGGTGTGTCACGCATGCCGCTCCAACGCTGGCAATGCCACCAAAGTACCAATGGGCATGCTTCTCGCTGCTCATTTTGTTGATTTGCGTTTCTCCTTTTTGCTAACTAATCAATCAATCAAATTAGCAAAATATTCAAATACATTTTTGTCAATTTAACACTAAAACTATTAACGAAATTGTGATTTTATTTTAATATCAAGTTGGCGCAACATTCTTAACAGCTACAAAATATTACATCATCGCCACTATTAATAAAAGCTAAGGATAATAAAATACGCATAATCAGCTGAGCCATGACGTAAGCATTGGTTGCGCGCGCCTTCAATCACGTCAGCCATTTGGCAACACTAGTCATATATACAAAATGGCCACATCAGCGAAAACTGAACGCATCTAGTGGCAACGCTGCACGAACAGCTGTCTGCTAAATGCTGTTGAAAGCATTGTGAACTCGTTTGTGTGTAGTGCCGCTTATTGTTTTCTTTTCGTGCGCAAATTTGCAAGTTTTCCACAATCAAATCTATTAAATTGCTTTGCAGCATATGTGCCATACGATTTGTAAGTACATTGGATAAATATTTATACATATATTAGTTGCTTACATGCTGCGAAACATACAACGTGCGCGTAACTTCGGCTAAGTTGTTGACGTGCACCTAGTTAATTCTGTATGCATCTCCTATTACGAAAAAAAGCGGTTGTATTTCATTTCGGCATTGAAATTGGTCAACATGTAGCGGATATTTCTGAATATTTGAATATTTGTATATGTTTATTTTCATTTCAATTTAAAAGCTGCCTGATTGGATTTTCCTTTTAAGTTAAGCAATTTGCGCAACTGAATTATAACGATATCGGAATGAGTGTGTGTGTGCATGATAGATTATGTGTGTATAAGTGCCTGAAGCTGCATAGTTATGAGTACGCGTGTGTGTCCTTGTGTGTGTGTGTTTGCATTTATTTGCTTGATTAGCCATTTTCGAATACACACATACACACGCACACTGACCTGCGCACCCTAGCGAGTTACGGTGGGCGTGAGTGGATTCAAAGGCGTTACTGCCGATATGCCAAAATTCATATTTTAAAATAAGCTAAAATTGTTCGATTTGATATTAAAAAAAATTTTAAATTTTGAATTTTTGTCTTTCAAAAACGAATATAGCTGATAAAAATATTAAAATTGAAATTTCAGAAACAACAATGTCAATCAAAATACATATGTAGTATAAACACGTATTTAAAATTTCTAAAATTATTGCTTTATTAAGAAGGGCTATTATAATTTTTTTATAAAAAGGTTTCTGGTTATATAATATATAAAGAAACCCTAATTAAAAGAATATATAATATTTATAACGTAACCAACCACACTAAAATTATAATTGCAAAAATTCCTTTTTGTAGTTTTATTTATGTTGGGAACAATTGAAGACTTTTAGATAAATTAATGAATATACCCATTAGGGAAGTAATACTGTATTTTATTTTACGTCAAAAATATCTGATAAAATTTTCTGACTGCTACTGTAATGAATCTAATTGGAATCTGCATTTGTTTGTTCCGCTATGGACGAAGCAATTGGAAATTATATTGCTTTTACACTGGAAACTTTTTAGCGATAAATCTGCTTAGTTGCAAATGAATATATTCATGTTTAGTTGAGAACAAAAACTTATTAGCTAACAATTAACATTATTTCATGCTTAGTCACCCAACAAAATGTGACCCTGTTTGACTTTACGCTAATCGACTTTTCAGCTCGTTGCCCACTCGCCTGGTGATAACAAACTAAATAATTCCAAATATGCATAAGCTTCTTTATGAATATTTGTATGTATATGTGTATATGTATGTGTATGTATATATAAGACATTTTGTGTGAACCATGCCACGTGCAGCAAATGGCCAATAAATCACACGATTCTTTTCCTCTCTTGTGTTGCCAAAAAAGAAAAACAAGTGGATTCTGATTGGAAACACTTATTGTTTGTGTTTTTCGAGAAATCTAAGCAGCTTCCATACAGAAAGCTTAACACATAACCGTTTATCGAGCTTAACATATACAAGAGCTTTTAACAGCATAGTAAATGTAAAAACATTTGTTAGCCTTCCTGCTGTGATATAAAGATTACATGTTATACCGGCTATTGATAAGTCGTTATTATTATTAGATTTTGAACTTTTTGCTGTTTATCTGATCATAAACTGAAACGTTCCGTGAGCAAAGGTCAAAGCAAAACATCACATGATCCAATAAGAAAAATATGCTTATAGATTTATTTCTATATAATATGAAAACAGTCGCGCCTTCCCAACTAAAACATATTTCTCGGCGTGTGCGGCTGTGTACATATAATATGTGTGTGCGTGTGTGTGAGAGTGCATGTGCGTGTTTGCAAACAGCTGATTGTCACATTTTTTCATAGACGTAGATCACGACAGGTAGCGTGATAATGCCATGATTTCTCCCGCTGTTGCTATCAAAACTAATGTCTGTGCAAATGTTGGCAATTGAATTAGATTTAAACACACACATGTATATATAACGAAATGCACACACATTCATTGCATGCAGTGTAAATCGTTGCATTTTGATATTGAAAAAATTGACTACTCAGCTAATTGAAAGTTTACCTTGAAAACGCGAGAGACAAATGTTGTAGCGGCGTATGTTGTTTACCGCTATAAATTGAGCTCTATATTTTTGGCAACACCAATACACCAATACACACACACAAACACGCGCGCACACAACACAATCGACAGAGAGAGAGAGAGAGTGGGAGAGTGGGAGTTCAGCGCATCATTACCACAATTGACGGCGAAAAACTGGTCTGGATATTGTGAATCGTTCTTTACCCGGTTTCTTAGTGTTGTTCTCCCTCTCTTGCTTTACTGCTGGAACGCACACCACGCACACAACACCACAACACGACGTCGTCGCCGCTTGAGCACTGAATACGTACTGATCGAGCAGCGGGTCGTCGACGGTCGACTGAACGTCAGACGAAGCTTCGTCCAGCGACGCTCGCGCTCTTCCACTCGGCGCGCTCTCTCTCTCTTAGAAGTGTTTGGCTTTTGGATTTTGTTTTATCACTATTGAGGTGACGGCGCGGTCAAGGCGGGCAGTTTGCAACTGTTTTTCAGAAGTGTGGCGGGGCTTGGCTTACGTTAGTCAGTTGTCAGACGCTTTGGCAGTCGCAGTCGTAATCAAACTCCTATTTAACGAGTATTTCAGAGAGGGAGTGGGAGAGAGAGAGAGAGAGCGCGAGTGTGTGCCTTCATTAAACATAAATTGGTGAGAGCTTTTTATTTCTATTCTTTTCTGTCATAACCTACGTACGCGCTCACACTTTGTATGTGCGCTGCTGTGCAAGTGTTCGTGCGTATGTGTGTCTGTGCTTCCATTCTACAATTGTAGAATAATAAAGTTAATGTCAACTATCTGCCATGTAATCGATGCGAAACGAAACAACAATGATTGAAAACAATACCAGTGTGTTGTGTATATGTTTATATGTGTGTGAGAAGTTTTCATACCGTTGCAATGGCTCATCGGTGGGCTGAAGCTCATTATCGCAGCGTAGTTCGTTCTTGTTTCAATTGTACCCTGTATGTATATGTAAAGGGGCATGAATAATGTAAAGGTTATTAGAATATCAAATATATAAAATAAAAGTGAAGAGGGATTTGAGGATATTAGATATTTATTATATATGTATGTAGCTAAAACGAAATCTCCAAATAACGAAATCACTAATGGAGGTCGAGGTTATTTAACATGCTCTACTCTGTATTTCGTCAGACAAAAAATCAATTAAATTGTTGCTAAATTATAAAGAATGTGTTGAAAATTAATTAGTTCTTATATTATTTGTTAAAATATTTAATATTATTATGCATACAGTTTCCTTAACTGCAGGGTATTTTAAGGTCCATGTATTAGGCAGCAAAGATATTGTTGAAATTATCTATTTTAAATGCCCTTTATGTAATAAACAAAGTGTACAATATATTATTAATCAGCTGCTAGGCGCCTTTTGAAAAATATAAATAAATATGTACTCACATACAATATATACCCAATAAATATTTATCTGTCGTGAGTTAATTTAAAATTTATTGCCATACATAATTATTATTAATTACGAAGCTCATATTTCAAACGGCGTTCTTTCGCCATTCGCATTGACAGCCAAGGTCTAATTAGAACGTTAATTTGTTGCAGCAATTTTTTTAACGCTTTTAGCTTGATAAACAAGTGAACGATTGGCCTAGACGCTAGAAATGGCAAAATAGTCGCCTATATAATAACAAAGGCAAATGTGTTTTTCTTATTTGCTGGCTGAAAAATGGCAGAAACACGTTTAGCTATTCTATTCCAATCAGAGTTTTGTTTACCATATTCAATTTGCTTCAAAATATTTACACATGCAGAGAAGGCGCGTGCGAGCTTTTACGTAAAAGCTTTTTTCGTCTTGGGTTTACCGCTGAAATGGGCTTTTGGAGGCTCTTTGTACATGTGGCCCATTAGCTCAGCTGGTTAGAGCGTCGTGCTAATAACGCGAAGGTCGCGGGTTCGATCCCCCCATGGGCCAAGAAGAAATTTTTTTGTTTAGTTTTTCAATTTTTTTTTTCCACATTTAATAAATTATTTTCATTGATTGGCGGGTTATTGGCCACGTGTGCGGCTGACAGCGATGACGAAGTGACAAAATGAAAGTAAATAAATTAAAAAGGAAAGTCTGGAGGTCATTCTGGCCGTTTGGCCATTTGGCCATTTGGGCAATTGGCCATTTGGTCTGCAACATGAAGCATGTCGGAGCACGTGACCCCGCGTCACATTTAATTAATTGAATACACATTTTATGGCATTTATAAATTGACCAAAAACATATTCACTTTTTTTGCTCCTTTGTGTATTGTGTCTTTGCAGCTGCCCACTAAACCATAATCTGAATTATGGCCGCCTCAGTGCTGCTCGCTTGCGGTCTCAACGAACAGAAGCTGCCAGGATTCGTGCACATCAGCGAGGAATCGAATGTCGATGGCAGTTTTCTAATTAGCTGCATTCTGGGCCAACGCCTGCGTATCTCCAATGCGGGCACGCTGCTCGTCTGTCTGCAGAATCACTATCAGCATTACTTCAATGCGGGCATGCGGCTGGGCTACAACTCGAACATCTTTCTGGGCAAGACTTTCAATGTGATCGACGTGCTCAGCGACATGGCGCGACATGGCCTCAGCTCCAAGTGGCTGCGCTCTCCTGACGGTTTGACTCTGACGGAGCAGCTGGTGAAGGACATACGCGAGCAGCTGGAGAAGAACTATCCGAATCGCAGCAGCTACACCATACTGATTGATAATCTATCCATACTGATCAATCTGGGCGCCAGCAAGCAGCAGGTGCAGCAGTTCTGCCTGGATCTGGCCGACCTGGCCAAGGCGCACGATAATCTGACCGTCATCACGAAGCTGAGCAACAGCGACATCCACCCGCTCACGGACAACATTTTTTTCAAGCTGGGCAACGTGCGCATCCAGGTGCTGCGGCTGAAGAGCGGCGTCTTTCGCGAGGTCGATGGCAAGCTGCTGATCGAGCGTGTCCTGGACGACGAGGGCAGCTACTCCTGCGAGCAGACGCGCAAGGAGGTCCTCTACAAGGTCAACGATCGCAACGTCAAGATATTTAATCTTTTTTTAATCGGTGTCAAGGTTTAGCTTTTCCAAATTCGCATTGCTGCAATTTTGTATGGAATTTATTAAAGCCCATTTTGATATACCTATATATTATATACCTACATATACATAAAAGAAAACAACAACTACAACAACAACAACTCTTGCTGTAATTGTTTATATACGTACGAGGCAGACGTCTCTGTCCGAATGGCATGTGCCAATAACATCTGTTGTTTATCCGTTTCACGTTCGTCCGTTCGTTTCTTCTAATTGCGTTGTCTTCTTCTTCTGCAACTGCTGACGTCACCGCGGGCTCGACCGGACCGGCCGGACCAGCTCTCAGCATTGACGCAGACAACATGATGAATTCGTGTCTGGACATGACTTTACGGCGGGTCCATCCGACTATGTAAACCGAACTAGAGTTCAAATATCCTGCGGACCCACAGTTTAAGGGACGCTGTTCAATATGCGCTGACGATGAAAATGTGAAACAATGCGAAAATGGATGACTGGCCAGCGGGTATAACCAACGGCACAATACTCTATTCACTCTTTAAAGTTGATTTATATTGAGTTCTTCATAGTCATGACTGTTGAATGTGTGACTCTAAAACTGTGCACAAATGTCATCGACTGTTGAATATGTTATTTACTGCTTTAGTAATTTGCGATTTAGCTTAGTGAAACTGTCACGGCTTAAAGTGCGATTGACGAAGCGAATAAATCAAATACTGTTTAGGCTTAACAGCTGTAAGTTTATGGACTGAAGACTGTTCACTGACACTGTTAATAGCAGCTATCAAATTTACATTGTGTGGTAACGTAACTGTAATGAATGCAATGACTTTCAAACTATGCTGACTGTAAATATAACTATGGCTCTAGCTATAAAAGCATCGAGTCAAATTTTACCTGGAGTGAAATAATTGCTTAGCTCTTGAATATAAGTACAGTGGCTTTAAAACTATAAGCTATAACAAGAATGACTTCAAACTTTGCCAACTGTGACAATGCATGAAATGAAAATTAATGCTGATAACTATAGTTCTTATAACTGTAAGTGCAATGACCATAAAACTCCGCTAAGCCATAAACAGAATGACTTTCAAACTGTGCTGAGAAAACTAATGAAACTGCATCCACAAAGTAATCTGCTGAGCATTTCTTCTAAACTGTAAGTACAATGGCTCTCAAACTATGCTAAACTGTAAGTGGAATCGTTCTCTGTTCACTGTCACTATATAAAGAGGCGCCTATAAAGGCTACTGCATATCACTTCTTAAATTGTAAGTACAGTGGTTCTAAAACCTCTTTAGGTAGCCATAGTACTGATAGTACCCGTGTGACTGTCAAACTATGCTGATGCATCTAAAACTGCTAAGTACTAAGTAAGTAATCCAAGTAATAAATACAAAATAGTGACTCTAAAACTGTAAAACCAATAACTGTGTATACAAGTCGATCAGAAGCTCTAAGCTCAACCCGAAAATGGAAGCTCATTCTAAGCCAAAAAGTATAAGAATACTAAAACCAAATATACCCTTCTTGTCACTGCGTACGCTGTATGCAGCAAGTGAATATTGAATTTAAGCAAAACGCCCCCACAAGCTGATGAAATTTTGTCTGCCCGCCAAATGATGATAATTTGCAAAACAACAAACTCGCTTGTAATTCAATTCTTTTGCTCGACATCTAAAGTGTTTCATGAATAAAATGCCTCATTTCTTATGTATTTTGAAACATTTTTTCAAATCTCAATCAATACTGCGACGACAGATGCTGCCAATGAACTGCGCCTGAAAAGGGAAACTTTGTCAGCAACGTAATTAATTGCATCGGGAGCTTGGCTATGGTTCGCTTTCAACTTTCAACTCGAGAGTCACGTAGGTTGTAAACGACTTTTACTTTAATCACAAAATATGCTCGGGCCAGAACGGAAGCGAGCCAAAACGGAAGTTGGAATTCTGATTGGAAATCTGCTATATATACATATATATAGAGACCGCCAATGACGGCATTGCGCATCAATTTGACTAGACTTTAGAAAAAACTCGAAAATTTGGTTTACCCGTTACGGCCATCAATTTGTGTGCGTGTGTTTGGGCCAAGCTAATGACAGCGTAGAGTTTAATGGGCGAACGGAAAATTTCGTTGCATACTTTCAGGCAGTGACAAAAAATATTTCCGCTAGATTCGCATGCACAGCGAGAGAGAGCCTCTGTGCGACAATGGCATCATCATGCGGGAAAAAAGCAGAGCTAAATAACAACTCGGGCGATAATTTATGTTCAGCTGTGTAGGCCCAGTGCGCTGTCTACCCTTTCATCACTGATAATAACAGCATATTAGTATGGTCCAGAGCTGAATATATTTCGCTCTTAAAAAACCCCCAACACACACATACACACATCCAGCATCAACTTGATTTTATCTTCTTTTTTTTTTGGCGTGTGTATGAGTCTTTTCATCTGCCGATTTATATCGCCATTGTGTCGCGCGCACATCCACATCCACATAATTTCTCTCAGCTGGCACAGCATGGCGTATGCGTAATATTTATTTAACAGCCACAATTTACGCTTTAAGGTTCGCTGTTTCGGCTAAAAGGTTCTGACGGCAGCTTCTTATTTATTTTATTTGCCAGTACAAAGTGCTTGAGCCTAAAAGGGTTTCAAATTATATTAAAGTAATGAAAAACCACGAAAAAAATATGCAAAACAGCTTCAGCAATTATAAAATGCATAGCGGAAAAACATATAGTGTAACGGAAAAAGTATGTGTGTGTGTGTGTGTGTGTGTGTGGTGGCAGCCTGTCAATGTGGCTTTTAAAGCCACGTTAGTACTTTTAGGTTCCTTTAACGCTCGCACGTGCATAGACTTTGGAAGTGATTGTTCTTTTAAATTCTTACTGAATGTGAGAGAATCTGCGAAATAGAGGGTAGATAAGATACGATATATCGTAAATATAAATTTGATATTATATTGATATTGTTATTATGAAACTTGAAATCAATTAATAGTACTTTCAATTTATAGAAACTTGTATATATAAATAAAACTAGTTCAGAAATGTAAGCCCCTAAATTCTGGCATATAAGTTCTGAGTATTAGATTTAAATAGCTTCTGATTAATTTCACGTAATATTTATAAGACAGAGTATTATATCGTGAAATTTTCTGTAATACAAAATTGCAAGAATATATATCCTGGCATTATAACTTGAAATTTAGTTGTATAATGCAGGGTATATCTTAGCCTAACATAACATGACATTATACTATTTTAGTGTAAGATTATATCATATTATAAATATATATATCATATCAAAAGCTAAACCTTATATTTAAAATGCAGGGTATCTTATAGTCGATCACTTCTTTGCCGACTACTCGCTTGGCTCAAACAGTGAAGTGAATGCTTTAAAGCCACTTTTCTTTTTCCTCATAAGCAATTCACGCCTGCAGCATGAACCAGTCAGGAAATGAAATTTTTGGGGCAAATCACAACAACAACAGAAAACGAAGAATATAAATAGAGTCTGAGCAAACCGCAAAATTCATGGGAAGTAAGCAGAAATACTTGATACAGGCAGATAAATGACAAAATATAAACACTAGCTAAGTCGAAAACAAGCCGAAGGCAATTAGTTTATTTCAGAGTATTTCAAGCAAACTAAATAAACTCAGTTTATTTTAGAGTATTTCAGACGAACTTAATCCGCTCAGTTTGTCTCTGCATATTTCAAGCGAACTCAGATTGCTTTAAGCCAACAAATTCACTTCATGGTCGAATTGCTTTTGAAACAAAGTGAAATTCACATTTTACATTTGATTGTTTAATTGAATTCGACTCGGGCGAAAAGTTGAGAAATTAAGCACGCACATTTTTACTTTTCACTTATTATTCTTTTTCCCTATTTTCCTATTCTATTTCTTCTTCTTTTTTGGGCATCAGTGAGTTAGATAAAAGTTGCGAAAAGTGAATAGAGAATTTTTGCAATTTTCATATCATCATCTGGATGCTGCCAATGAACATTTGTCGGTGTCCTCTCTATCTCTATCTGCACATTTCACATTTCTATTTCGCTCTCTCGTTGGTGGTTCCGGACAATTAGGGAAACTGTTTTGTCAAGCAATTTAGCATTTGCCAACAAGATTTCTGCACACAATTTAATATTGAATTTAGCGGCTTTGCTTAGTTCGTTCTGTGGCTAAAAACATTTCCATGGAAATTTGCATCAAAAGGAATGATTGGCAATTCGCTAATCGGCTGAAACACAGCTGATAAACAACTTTTTCTGTGTTTCTTCCCCTCTCTCCCGCCCCCCTCTCTCACTTATTTCAATTAACTGCGTTGCGTATACGCAACATTTGACAGTCGACTCTCGCCAGTTTATGCCCTTGAGCGTAAATTTTCAATGATATTCGATTTTTTGCTCATTTCTATGTAGCCTGAGAACGGGGGCTCTTCCACTCAAAGTGCTCTGCGGTCTGTGGCTCTGGTTGGGTGTTAGCTGCACATGCGAAGGAGTTTGCGTTAAGTGCTTTTACACCTACGCACAGCTATGTAATGGAATTTACTTATTTTTTTTTTTTTTTTTTTTGGGCATACAAGTGGGCGAACAGTCTTCCATAATAATGTAGACGAGCGCTTGCTCACCTCAATCCTCAATCGTCGCCATCAAAACGCATGTCCAGGCTTGTCACATTATTTGGATTTCAATATCCATAGACAGAAATGGGCCGTAATTCAAACAGATATTATTTTTATGGTAAACCACAAAAAAATTCGATAAGTAAAATTTATATTATTATATGACAGTATCATATTGAATACTATTGACAGATTTTTATTAAACTGTATAAATATACTTTATATGTATATTTAAACTTATATGCTTTTTAAAAAATTGCTTAAATATTTTAGATTATCCCTCGATAATAATACATGCTTTTAAATAAATAATAAATATATGGATGAAAGTATAAAAATGATTTTATTTAATAATTTGTCA